TGCAGACCAGAGCAGCAGATGATGTATGCAGGAAGCAAAAACAAACTGGTGCAAACTGTTCAACTGACCAAGGTTTGTGAGCTGCTTCTAATGTTAGTACACAAATCTGTTGTGCCAAGTCATAATAAACCAGTACTGGGTTTTAACTGTTGCAACACTGTTATAAAATCTTTCATAGCTGCCAGACAAGTGGGCAAAATCTGATAAAATGCCACATTTTTTAAAAGTGATCTACTATATCTGATCTACACAGCTCGGTTCCCATGTTTCTGATAGACAACTCACAGATTTCCTAAATCTTACAGGATGCAAATTATTTCCATGTGTTGTATATGTGGATTATTACATTTGCGTGTTAAAGTATCAAATCCACCTGATATACTGAACAATACATGTTGAATGTGTGTTATTATTGGAAAAAAAGAACATGTAGATCATGGAAGCTTGGTTCTGAGTGTGACTAAATTCAGCAAAACTGGATGAATATGATGTTTCAGAATCATTTTTTATAAAGCAAAACATCACAAGTATTAAAAGAAAATTCTAAATCCCACTATTTTCTCTGTTTTATGTGTTTTTTTTTTCCTTCTTCTTTTCCCCCAGGTGTTCGAGATCAGAAACACAGAGGACCTAACAGAGGAATGGCTTAGAGAGAAACTTGGGTTCTTCCGCTAAAGCCTCCAACTCAGAGGTCTGGGATGTGAAGAGGATCCAGACTGCACAACATGCATTATCTCTTTGGGAGAGCACACCAGTTAATGTTTCCCTCTTCTGTGTACCAGACCCGATTTGAATAGTGTTTGCAGATAACATTCTGCACTCAGTTTTAAACCTCTTTGGTGAGGTTTACTGTATATGACAACTGAAAGTGCACCAGAAGGTTCAGACAATCACAGGACTGCTTTTCTGTGGCTGTCAACACCTGAAGCACTGTCTAAACCTGCCCCATGTGACGGCCTAAAACTGAAAACACTATTTGATGCAGGTCTGCGTTTATCTTCCTTACAGTCTCTCCGTGTGCCAGTTTGTGTCTGTTGAATTAACACTCCCATCGCTCTTCAAGTGGACAGAGATTAATAGTACTCATCTGCCCTTCCTAAGTGTGTTCATTTAAGGAGAATTTAGTGGTAGTAGTTTACACTCAACATTTTTTGCAACTCTGAACCTCCTGAGTTTCGCCCTTTATGTTTAATAATTTTTTATAATTTGAGGGAGTCTTACTTTTATATTTTTTTTTCTAGTGTACCTAGGGTAATGTAAGCATAACTTACATTTTATAGCATTAGTTTTGTTTTTTGTGTAAAAACCAAACTTCCTGCCGTAACATCTAAACAGTCACCACTACAATTGAGTTTTGTTTTAGTCAGTTTCTCCTTAAGTATTCATTTAAGGGCATTTTAAGTATACTTTAGTTAACAGCCTATAATCACTCCAGTCTACAAAAGACACTAACACTAGGACCATTTGACAAGAGGCACTTCTGATAGTTACAGTGTATATGATGTGTTGTACCTTCTCCTGTGCACATGATCAAGCTGGCAGAAGCCATGAAGTGGTGCTCATCACAGTCCGTTGTCGGATCACATTTTTTCATCTCTGTTTAGAGAAAAAAAAACAGCATGAATCATGGGTAAAACTGCATTCTGCCTTGGACCTGTTTATATGTTAGAGCAGTTTCACACTCCAGGAAGCAATTTTTCCACTGAAACATTCCAGACTGATCAATTTATACAACAAACCCCTGTCTCTTGTGATAGTCTTGAAAACACTGCACACAGGGTGCCATTACCTGCCCTCTTTTTAAATCGACTAGGCTTCTCTGTATAAGTGGGTTACTCTGTCTTTAGGGAGCTTGTTAGCTAACATTGTGCAATATAGCTATTACTGTTGTTAGTGTTTATGAACGTTGTGCTTAATTCTGACATAAAGCCACTTTGCTTCGTGGTGGTCACAGCTTTGAGAATGGCGCCTGTTGTACTTAATATTTTGATTTGGCAGGTGAAAGACTGGGCAGTTTTCTATGTCGTACAGGGTTTGACCAGTGTAGCTTTTTGAAGGCTGATTCTGATATTAGCATTGAATGTGCCAGCAGCTTAAATTTTGTGCCAATGTTTAATATGCAGTCTGTAAGTATTTTTACAGTGACACTTTTTTGTTGTGTTTGATCTGTTTTCTGTCATGTTGGGTTTGAAATTAAACACAAACAGGTTAAAAAGCCAAAATTCTCAGTTTTTGGCACTTTTCAAATCTAATGTGCTAGAGTATACAGTTAAAAAACCACATAAAGTGTGTCACTTTCCAAACAATTACAGACTGTGTTCTATGTATCTTGTTATTTCCATGCCCAAAAATGACATTTCTTCCTTGTTCCCTGAGGGAGGTCCTCTAAAACAGCATAGAGGGAGTAGCAGACTTAAACTTAGGAGCTCGTAACAGCAGGGTCACCAGTCCCAGGCAGTTGAAAGCTACAGAAAACTGAAAATACCCCAAATCTACAAAGAAAATAAAATTGTATTGCCAGTGCTACTGAGTGGTTTATAATACGTGACCGTTCCACTGGTGATGGATGACTCAAGTGGCAGATTTCTGATTCTTAATGAAAACCTGAAATCTGCTAAGTATATTGGTGTGGCCCTAACAGGCACACACGTGAGTTTCACATGTCCTCACATCAGTGTAGTCGCTTATTGAGAAGCTCCCACTTTGGAAATGGATAAGAAGGGAGTGTTGTGGCTGATTTAAAGCTGACAGCACAGGAAATCACCACATAATGTAAGATATCATGCTAAGTCTACCATACCAATGCCTTGCCTTGTGTTTTTGTCATATTTATGTCTGTTTTGAAAGACCATGAGGCCAAAATGAAAACATGACACAAATAAAAAATTGTGAAAAATATATAAGATGAACAAAAAGCTTTTTGGGGGGCTTTTTTTTTTACATTCTGATCTGTAAAGTCCAGGAACATTTTTTTTCTGTCAAAATATAATCCTGGTTATATTAAATAATAGAAACTAATAGTTATACTGAAGATGTGACTCAATTATATGTATACACAATCACACCATTTCATATAAATCATTTATTGATGCTAAATGTTAGACAGTTATATTTGATTTCCATGTCTGACAGGGTTAAATCCAACAGGAACAATGGGCTGTAACTGTAATCACTTGTTTTGCGAGTAATTCTAATGTTTGTACACATTGCAAGCTGTATGTCTACGTTTTATGACCCCAAGACCCACAGAAACCTTCAAATTTCATGAAATAATGTTAAAAAAATTCACAGTCAACATGAAATCTAATTCTGTTGACTGATGTATAAAGATTGTTTGGACAAGAGCATTACAGGCTAATGGTGTTTGTATTTAATTTGAAATATTTGCAGTGTACTGGTTTTGATGTGAATATATGAAAATGTTTAGATGTTATCTTGTTAAAAAATTCTTCTAAAATGTGGAGAGCTACTGTATAAGAAGTGCATGCTTTAATGTCAGTACAGTTCGAAAGAAATTTCTTAATTTGCTGTTTTGATGCATGCGTTCTTTCAGAGCAGAGGATTTGTATTAAATTATTAAGATAATTTGATTTGACTGATAACAGTCACATCTCAATCACCTCATCTCAGCTGCATTCTTATTCTTATCTAAAATATTTACGTACTGTTACGTACTTTCATGCAAATGGGATGTAGCAATGGTCTTGTATCAGATAATTTTCCGAGTACAAGGTCTGTTGGAATAAGAGCTCTCTTTTGTTTTGAGCCATGTATCTGGTTATGTCCTGTGGATCTAAGCTTGCTCTCCAATGTGGTGAACCTGTTATATATTTGGCCTTGTGAGTCTTTTTCTTTATCCTGCAGATGTGTTGTTCGGCTCTTGGTGTCTTAATACTTCTTTCCCTTTTAAGAAAAATGCCTGAAACATGTATCATAACCAGCTGCCTCATGGCATCAGTGAAGCCTGAGATATTTGTATTTTCCCATACTTTATAAAGTGTCTATTGTCCTGTTGTTCAAATAAAATGACAGTGATGTTTACCCCTGTTTTCAGGTGACTGCTGTTTTCAAACCGATAAACACTGTATGGTTGTGTGATGTGCACACAGTATTGATCATATTTGGTTTTGTCATATGCTGTTGCACAGAACACAGAGAGTCCAAATGGTAATGCAGTGTGCACATTATAAACTGCCAGCTAAGTGTAATTTGTAAGTACAGTAGATGGTTTAGTATTACAAGAAATGATATACAATGCTGATCAGTGGTGGAAGAAATACTCAAATTCTGTAGCTGGTAAAGGTGGAGCTAATTTTAGTTACGTTATATGCTTATAATTTAAAGTACTGCTAAGTAGCTTGTGAATTTCCTACCGATAATCAATACAGTCTTATGATTAGAGTGTATTTTGTTTTATTAGTCTGATTCTAGAAAGTTGCAAAAGTTATTAAATACATGTAATGCAGTAAAGAGTACAATATCTGCTCCTAAAATGTTGTGAAGTCGAAGTATAAAATAGCAAAAAATGAAAATATTCAAGTAGGCCATAGTACTTCAAATCTGTAATCAAGTAGCTTACTTGAGTAAATGTACTTAGTTACTTTCCACCACAGGTACTGTATGGCTCTCAAGACATCATCAAAAGGACAAACACCAGAGGAGAACAGTACTGAAGAAAATAGAAAAGAGGAAAGTGTAGTAACTCGTTTGAGAATAGGTCACACAAGTTTAAATTATACCCTGTATAAAATAGGTAAACACCCTACAGGTCTTTGTCCACACTGTAGAGCATGTCCTGTTCATATGCAGTGCTTATAATGAACAACATGCTTGAAACATAGCAGTATTGGAACAAAAGAAGATTACTAATATGTCAATAGAGATTCCTTTGGGCAACAATTGTAAGACAACATATAGAGTTGTTATTAGTTATTTGGCAGATATAGGGAATTTGGATAGAATTTAGTAGTTTATGCAGTTCTAAGAAGTTTTTTTGTAAATAGTATTCCTACGGCTCTATTAGCGTTCCACACTCAGCCCAGCAGGTGGCGGTAATGCACCTTAGGTTGGGTTGCAAGTCGCCAATAAACACCATAAGAAGAAGAGGTACTGAAGAAAACAAACGATGAAGGACTTAGATACCTCCAGAAGACGGCAGTAATGCGCCAGTAAGAGTATCTGCTAGTTAAACACTCGCCGAGGAAGAATTCACATTTTAAATCGGCTGCGAAGCTGCCTGCATCATCCGCCGATCGAGCCAAGAACCCACCATCAGAAGCAGAGGGAAAAATGGCGTTCACGTTCGCGGCCTTTTGTTATATGCTTACTCTGTTGCTCACGGCGGCGCTTATCTTCTTCGCTATCTGGCACGTAAGTACACATTTTAGACAACATTAGATATGACTGTCGGCCTGCCAGTTCAACAGCGCTGACACAAGTAGGTGAGCGATGAGGGTTTGCAAAGACCGGGCTGACGCTAGGCCAGCCTCGTAACGTTGACCACAAATCCTTGCCGATTTTAGGGTTTTACGTAGCTAACCGCCGATCGAGGCAACCTCTGGCTAAAATGTATCCAAGGTAACGTAGTTCCATAGTAACAACTGTGTGCTCAGTGAATGAATGGAACACACCCTACAATCGGCTAGGAGCTAACGTTAGCTAGCATTTAAACATCCAAACATTGCTGTATTTACACGTCCGTGTTAAAGTAAACTCTTTCCAAATGTTGTATTTTATGGTAAATGGACTGCACTTAATTAGCGCTATATAGCGCATTTTAGAGTCTATACATACGTAAGTGCTGCTTAGTTATAGTAAATGTCTGGGTGGCCAAACTATTAGTGTTTAGTTGGTAGCTAGCTAGCCCCACCGTGTGCCTCTCATGTAACTTATTGCATACACTCTATGTTATGTAATACAGTAGGAGACAATCACAGTCTGGGGCTAGCAGCTGTCTAGCTAGTTAGCAGCCTTGCGAGCTAACCTCCAATCGTGGAGCGACAAACGGCTCCGATGCTGCCGTAAGTAGTTGTCTTAATCTCTGCTAGTCACATATCTTACTTTTTATAGCGTCAGTTTCATGGTCAAAGTCAACATTAGCGGTGCAGATTATGAGGCTGTATGTAACGACGTGTCCATGACTCAAAAGTCGTGTCGTTAACGTAATGGCAGGAAATAAAAAATCATGTCTAGTGTACTTAAGAGTGTTAATGCTGGATAGCTCAATAAGCAATCTGGACATTAACAAAGCACAGGTGTTTTTTTTTGTTTGTTTGTTTTTTAAATTAGATCGACTTAATAATGGATTTATTTGTCGTTTTTCAAGCAAAAATAGTGGACAATATTTTCTAACTCCAGCTATTGCAAATGAGAGGATTTCCTGCTTTTATGTAATAAAATATTTTATGCCTTCTAGACATTGAAACAATACTTTTGAAGATATCATAGGTATATTTACATTTTTTGATGCTTCATAGACAAAACCATCTATTTAATTAGTTGCAGCCCTTCATTCTTAAATCTGCTGCTTTATGTTACTGTGAATTGTTTGGTCATACAAAACATCGACATTTTTCTAACATGTCACAGGTATTTTCACAATTTTCTAACTGGGTTAAAAGCTACCCAGTGTCATATTGCTTTTTTGCATGTTAATAAAATACACAATTCTGCTGTGCTGCTTTCTGGTCCTCTTGTTCCTCCAGATAATAGCATTTGATGAGCTGAAGACTGATTACAAGAATCCTATAGATCAGTGTAACACACTAAATCCGGTAAGTGACACCACAGTACCTGACAGTCCCTCTTTGACTGCATGTAGCTATGAAAGGATTTCATTTATTTTAGGTTAACTTTGTCCACCTCTCTTTTTTCAATCATTTCTCTGCACTGTTTTGCTAAATAACCTGCCTGTTATGAATTCAGTGATCTTGTCAGCTGTCAAACTCTAACACCTTTTGTTTTGTTTTTCCTAATCTGCTTTTTTTTTTTTTTTTAAACATCTTGTTAACGGCAAAAAGACAGTTGAAAAGGTCAAAAAGATTAAAAGAGTCAAAATTGCATTAAAGGTTTGTACCAATCTTTAAAATGCCCGCTCAGTTCAACTCAGTCTACAGTCTTGTCATTTTGCACGGGGAAGTGTTTGCAAATGTCTTTTCAGTTAACTAATCTCAGAGAAACATCCAGAGTTAATCTTGGGATTAGATGACATGCCACCTGTGCCTTTTGTTTCTTTTTAACTGTTGTCAGTTTTGTCTTTTTGAATCTTTATTTCTTGTGCATTTTTGACTGTTGTGGCGTTTAAGAATGTCATTCATTCTGCAAGTGCAGCTTTTTAAGATGTAAGCGTTTGTTAAAATACTGAATTTAGCTTTCGTCTTTTTGCATCTTATAAATTAACTAAGGCTTTGTTAAAATGCTCTGGAGGCATAGCGGCTATGGTGCTGTTGATCAGTCCTCTCAGATGAACTATCCAAAGTTATTGATAACTGATAAGGTGTAGCTGTTAACTGAAAAGACTTGCAAATGCTCAAAACATGCATGATCTTTATTACAAACTTTTTGTTTGCATATAGTATTATAGTAAATGGTACAGTAAAATCTTGGTACAGTCAAGTAACATGAGTTTGAGACATGACACCAGGCTTATATGCTGTCCTGACAGAGCTTTTACATGATGTAAAGAAAGATTACATAATTTGGTTTTTGTAGCTAAGCTGTGTATTATGGTCTTGAATCAGACCTAATAATACATACAGTCTGCAAGGAGGCGGCTGCAGTTTGCTTCAGCAATTAGCAGAACTCGGCTGCTGTGTATGAGTTCAGTCTTGGCACTGCCTGACCTCACCTGTGGTTCAGAGCAGATGGCTGCACAATCCCAACACTCTTGAGCTCAGCAATATTTTAGACCTTTGAGAGGATGGTAATTTCACTAGAAGTTATTGTAGCAAAAAGTACAGATCCCTCTCTTTAATCCATGATGCACGCCACAGTCCGATTTGCAGTTTTGACTATGCCAGTCTTTTTGCGTGTGCTCAGCTCAAGTTGGCACTTTTTTGTGCTATGATCAGTTTTGTATTTGGCAGCACAGTGCAGGATTTCACCACATTATAGCCCCCCAGCACCTCCCTCTTCTTACACACCCCTCACCTATCCATCTGTGGGCTGTTGGTTGCCCCCACCTCTACTGTTTGCTACTCTTGAATGCATGGCTTCCATGTGGTGCCTCCATCTGCCTTTGAACCCCACACCAGTCAACCTGAGGCAGGCTGGTGCTCACAGCATGGTCCTCCAGTGTGTTGCCTAGTCTGTCAGGTCTTATTTTTCACCCTGTTTGTGTTGCACATTGTCAGGTCGACATGCGATGAAGTATTGTCTATTTTACCTGCAGCACAAGGGCTTTGACATTTTTCTGCCTGATAGTGTGATGGCGGAGGCTTGTATGTTTATGTAAGACTATAGTTGAACTAAACCTCATAGTTGCATTTCATTCCTTTCCTCAACTTTCTGTGGAACTGACTCCATACTTTCACTTCCTCTTTGCCTTTGTGAATGTGTGTTTTGACTTCCATGTCACTATCTAGCCCATGCAGCTCTGCACCTGTTAATCAAGTCATTTGTGTAGACAGTTGAACTATTCTATATGTGACTTTAGACTGAGAGGCTCATCTAAACAGGGGAATTGCTGTTAAATTTGGATTCTGACATTTCCTTCGTTTGCTCTTTCAGCTGGTGCTGCCAGAGTATCTCATCCATTTCTTCTTCTGCGTGATGTTTTTCTGTGCAGCCGAATGGCTCACCCTCTGTCTCAACATACCACTACTGGCTTATCATGTATGGAGGTGAGTGTCTGACAAGAAGGAATCCACTGGCTTTTCTTTCATCTGTATTACTAAACACCCTGTTCTCCTACTCAACACAACTGACACTTGAACACGATGTGTAATATGACTTCTGCCACTGTGATGCAGGTATATGACCAGGCCTGTGATGAGTGGTCCAGGACTCTACGACCCAACAACCATCATGAATGCTGACATTCTGGCGTACTGTCAAAAAGAAGGCTGGTGCAAACTGGCTTTCTACCTCCTGTCATTCTTCTACTATCTCTATGGGTACACATTTATTTTTCCTATCTTATTTCTCGACATTGTTGTGGTATTGAAATAAGAAAACTGATCCTGTGTAAACTAAAAATCTAAAAAAAAAAAAAAAAACAGTACAACATTTAGGGAAACTGGATTATTCACTTTCTTGCCAGTTGAGTTGGATCAGATACCACATTTGCTTGTTAATATGAACTCTTAGCTTTGTTTGGCATAAAGGCTGGAAATGGAGAAAGTTGGACTGGTTCTGTCCAAAAGTAACAGTCCACCTACCAGCATCTCTAGAGCTCACTGATTAACACGGCTTGTTTGTTTCATCTGCAAAGTGCAAAACAAGTTGTGGTTTTACAAGAGGTTGTAATTGTCAAGAGCAAAATCATTTGGAAAATGTTCTTGTATAGCACTCGTAGGCGCTTTACAATATTTCCCATTCACCCATCGGGAGCAGCTAGGGGTTCAGTGTCTTGCTCAACAACACATGGACCGAACTACCAAATCTATGATTAGGGGACAATCCATTCTACCTCCTGAGCCACAACATTCAACACTTAAAATGTTTCATTTTTACACTGATATTCATATAAACCCAATAGAAGAGACTGTGTTAGAGCTTTGAAGGAGCTGGTCAGTGAATTTTGTGACTGTTGGACTGGCTGGCAGTTTCCCTTTTATGCAGCCTTTATGCTAAACCAATTCTCTCCTGGTTATAGCTTCATATTTCCTGTGAAGATGCGAGTGGTATTGATCGGCTCAGCAGGACAGGGAATAAGCCCATGTTCAGACTGGTTTCAAAGGTGGGGGGAACATAGCCCTCTCTATTCATTTTAATGGGGGATTGCATTGACCGCAGTGGCTTCTGGCAAAATGAAGCAGCCCCATGTGGTGGAAAAGTTGGATCTGGTTCAACCTTTAGAGGGTGACATCCTTCGGCAAAGGCACTGCATTGACCAATCTCATACCGGGGCAGTCGGAATGTGGACACCCACGGGAAGAAAACTGTTTACACAGCAGGGAGTTGCGTTTTACCGCACATAGTCTGAACGCCCGCTAAGTGTACCTTACAAAGTGTTGAATTATTCCTTTAATTGTAGCTATATCTTCAATTATGCATCTAATTTTAACAAACTACACAAATGTAAAACCAGCCTGATTTATTATTGCAAAACATGTACTCATTTGTTCCTCTGTCTATTTAAACAGGATGATCTATGTTCTTGTGAGCTCTTAAAGTGGACGATGGAGAAGGACCTGCATGTACAGTAGATGACCAGACACTACAGTAGTAGTGCTGGAACACTGGACCTGCTGGAGACCACAGAAACGCATTTCAAGCAGAAGAACTCGAACTGTTGTACGCAGCACAGAGTGTCAAACACCTAGCCCGTTTTAATAGAACAACTTGGTCGCAGTGTTCCTCTCACAGTGCTGTAGTTTAAATTTTACAGAAAATAAGGACTTTTTCCTTTTATTTTTAAATGGTGTGATTTTCAAATTTTTTTTTTTTCCTCCATCTTGGTTCTCAACTAAAGTGTATTCACAAACTAGGTAGAGATTTTCAGGTGTGCATTTATCTGTGAGACTAAGCTGTGTGCTGAACTGCATTAGCTTTTTCTGTGAATTCGATTCTGGGCTTTGTGACTCGTTGCCATCTTGAAAACAAAGTGCAAACCTGATTCGGTTCTTGCCTACATGGGTAAATGTCTTCAAATAAACATTTTGGGACTGAAAATACAGGGCTGAAGTACATAGGTTATCACTTAATGAGATGTGTTGCACAGGGACAACAGTCTGGTTGTTGCTACATCTGTTTCCATATGTCTTCTTTAATTCTTGCTGAAATATTTTAGCTTTATGTGTGAATCCAGAATACAAAGTGACGTGTGACCTGTTTCGCTGTGGACTTGAAACTATCGATAAACTCAAAGGTAGACTCAACCGCACAAGAATATATTCAACTTTATTATTCTCTTTCTGCATTTGAGCTTTGCTAGGAAACTGCCGCTGTGCCATACTATTCAATGTACCTTTTGAAATTATACTTTTGTCACTGTGCATTTTGCTCATTTCAACAACAAATATGCCACATTGGTAGGAACTCCAGTGTTAATTTATTCAATGTTTTTAATTTAGCTTTTTGTCTCTGGGATATCAAGCACTCCTTGCAGTGACAAAGGTTTTTAGAGGCAAGGCCATTACACTTTTCCAGAAGCACTAGAACATATTTATTCCAATTTTAAAACGACTGTCACACGCAGTTAAACCTTTCATGTATCCGATCTTGTGTCACATCTACAAAATGAGTTTATTTGCATCTAAATAAACAATCCTACTGTTAATACGGGCTGGATTATTGTAATTGTACTTAAATGTTTTTCCTACTACTTTCCTTTAAGGTTTTCCTGATGTGAAAGGGAAACGTGTTAACCTTTTCTGAATGTACATAACAGCTATATATTCAAAATCTGTTCTATTACTAGTAAAAAGCATCAAGATGACTTTCTATTCAACCTATATTTTACTAATTTGATCATTTAAGATGCTATAATTGAGTCAATCATGACATGGTCAGCATTAGACATGACAACTGGATTTGTGCAGGTCCTCAAAGTCTAAAAAGTTTTAAAATGCCTTAAACAGTTGTGATAGGTCTTGAAAATGATCATGTTTAGGCTAATTTTTGATGCAAACTAGCATTAAAAATTGGTCTAAACTTCAGTTGCATTTTGGGGAAAATGATTGTTTCAGTTGCACGAACCTGAATATTTAAGGCCCACAGGTGCAACGTTGAACATACTTGTTTCAGTCGCACAAACCTGAATATTTTCAAGGCCCACAGGTGCAACGTTGAACATAAGCTTACATTTCACTAATGTGCAGGTCCACAGTGAAGCACAAAATCAAGACTTCACAAGCAGCAAATACACTTTCAGATAACCCCCATTTAAATTGGGTTGAACACACACTTCTGTAAAAGCAGCACAAATAACAGCTTCCAACACCTCACAGTTTGATCTCCATTACTTTCATAAAGGGAGGATTGACTGCAGGACTATGAAATAAGAGGGTATAGACAGTGTCTTATGAAAGTCAATCATGGCTTTACTAAAATAGCTGGGAGTTCAGAAGCTCCCACACTGTTTTAATTTACATTTAATGCCAAGCAGCATTATTTATGACACTTTTAAATAAATTAATGTAAAATGATTTTTAAGTCATTTATTTGATAACAAGGACACATAGCTATAAAAGTATTCTTTTAAAGTGCAATCAGAGAGTACAATTATATCATACGCACACACACAAATGAAGCAGTTTTGTGTGAAAAGCTCAGCATGTTCAGAAGAAGAGGAGCGGAGCAGTGATCACCGCGATACCGATCGCTCTGCAGAGACCCGTCTGCTCTCCTGGTACGCCGAGTACCTTTCCCGAAACTCGTGGAGGAAGTTGTATTGCTGTGGAAAAGGGAAATTAAGTTAACATCTGTTATTGAACTACTGAAGCACAAAATTAAGACTTCACAAGCAGCAAATACACTTTTTAAAACACAGTACAGGTGGTTGTGCATGTTGTAGCCCAGTAACTAAAAACAGACACTTCACTAATTTTTGCAATGAGCTTGATTGTGGATTTCCAACTAACTTTCACTATTCAAAGACCATGTGACAAAGCTCTCCTTCAGTCCACTCTAAGACCTGTCTTAGCACGTTTCTCACTAGGATCATCCACGTCAATATAGTGACAACCTCCGTTTTGTCAAAAATATTTCCTCACTACATAAAAGTGTCTGGACAGATGTGTGAAGACTGGTTGGCTGATGGGGCTAAACATGTAAATACACCTACAGATTCACAGAGGAAGAAGCCATCTCTCACCTTCACTGTCTGTATCGCTCCTCCTCCTCGGTGCTCCCTGAGGATTTCGATGGCTTTGTTTGCCGTCATTGTTATAGAGAACTGAAGCAGCAGACAGGCGGCGACTGAACAGCAGGATATATGATACAGTCAAGTAATTTTAAAAGGTTTGACCTTTTAACATAAAATGACATACTGTCTTTAAGATCACAGGGAAAGAACACGAATGTTGTGACTTGACAGAACACAGAGCAACATTCAGAGTAAAAGCAGAATATTCTTACTTAATGCAGAGCGTCCCAGGCCTCCGTAACAGCTTTAGGGGAGGGGGGGGGAAAAGTGCAAAATACCATGAAATGCACGATTAAACGCTGAAAGCAAATGTTTCAGTTGTGAAATGACAAGTCCCAGCAATAACTGGGGGAAAATAGATGCCTGTTGAAATAAACTTAAAGGTTTTAAGATGCAAATGTTTGCAAATACTTCAGATATTAAAAGCACAATGGGTTTAATCGGCATAGAAAGTATGGCCGTATCAGTGTCAGTTTTTTTACTTCACGTTTACAAGGTTAAACTCACTCATATGTTAGGCAGAACGAGTACAACCAGTTTCCTCCTGTTGCCAGGTGAGCTGCTTCATCAGCTCACCTGGGGATCCCAGAGCCGCTCTGGGGCCTTAGAGCAGCAGCGTTTTTATAAAGCGACACACGAACCACTGATCTTCCTTTCAGGCTGCTGTCAGTGCAGTAGCTCTGTTTACATGGGCCTATTTTAATTCACCAACACTGAGAATAAGAGCTCAGTCAGAATAAAAGTCTTCCCCTTTCACATTCCTGCGACTGTATATTGCTGCCACCGTAAGAGTTTGTCATAGAACGTTTCATTTTTAACAACAGCTAGACATTTTTCATGCAGAAGTGCCAAGCAAGTGCCATTTTCAGGATCTCAAATATAAAGATCTCCTTTTCTGTGTTTAATATTACTGTACCGATGGTCAGAGCCATCAGTTGAGTTGGCACTGCAGATGGCTGCCTTGGTTCTGTACCAGAAACAAGTAACATACTTGGCCAAATAAAGGTGATTAAAGTCTTTTTGTCATGGTGGCAGCAGTACGCTACCATATAATCTAATAACTTGCTATGTAAACACTTAATTTCATGTGTCCTTTTTTTTTTGTTACTAAAAGTTTATTTATGAACCCTTTCTCAATTATTGCAGCATTTTTCCAGAAAAACTACCTTCTGTTGAACACTTTAGTTTCTATAATGGAAACAAATGTGCTCTATTATATTAAAAACACCAGAACCTAAAACCAGGAAAATAAGTTTCACCATCAACAGCCACCTGAGAGTTAATATGTTAAGAGTTTTTGGAGAACACACCATGTAGAAAAACAAACCTTGCTGTTTTTGTTATACTGCTTCCCTTTCCTTCACATGACGATTGCTACATCTCTGTGTGGCACCAGTTTGAGAACGCCTGGTTTCCTTCATTTGTATGTTCTTCTTTTTAACAGTGATGCAACAGTTTTATAGCTGTGTTTTAAAATGTGACTCTCAGTTTGATGGATGATTTCACTCACTGGATCACCGTCCTCCTGTTGTTCTCGAGGCTGACCTGCAGCTCCTCCAGGATCTGGCAGCACTGCTCCAGCTCAGGCGCGTCTCCGTCAGGGAAGGGCATGTGGTGAACTGTGAAGCCTTGCTGCTGGTATACCTCCAGCAGTGAGGGAACCCTGTACTTGTTGAGTTCCCCTCTGGTGCAGAAAACAAACACGTCCTGCACCCCCTGGTTCTGGAGCTCCTCTGTCGCCAGGAAGAACAGCCGAGATGTAAGACAGCAAAGCATTTTCAAACAGCTGCCAAACAATTAAACTTTCTGCAGTGCTGAACAGAAAACTCACTTTGACATCTATGTACATTTGCAGGTACATAAGTGTTAAATTTGACAGATTTTAATAAAAAAAAAAAAAAAAATCAAATCCAATCATGTTTTAATTTCGTCATTATGGGTTGTTGCGTGTAGATTTATGGGCAAAAATGTCAGTTTTATACGTTTAAAATGAAATCTAACAGTAAAATTGTGCAAAAGGTGAAGGGGTCTGACTACTTTCTGAAACCACTGTACCATCAATAATTATTGGCTAAATGTGGATTCATTTCTGTTAAAACATACCATATATAATGCACTCTGAACATTTCATAGTCAAAACTTACACATTGCAAAATGAAGTGATCAGTGAAACATCTTGCAGCATTTACATTGTCAGTGTCAGAAAATTGTTGATTTTTTTTTTTAAATACACACAGTCCAACCCCCAAATGTGTGAAAAAACTGAAATTTTTGAAGTAAAACCTAAAACCACTTGCTAATTAGATCAGTCTGGTAACATGAACCACTTCCAGAGCATTTGGTTTGATCATCAAAAAGGATCAAGGTTGTCTTACCAACATCTCTTTGCAGACTCCTGCGAATATCTCTGTATTTGCAACCTGAAGTCAGATGAAGCTAATTTTTACATTGATACTGTACACGAAACCTTACAGCAAGAGAACAGCAGCAACATGCAGTGTGTAAAATGAAGAAGTACAAATTTACCTGGTAGTGCACATATCCCAAGAAACTGTGAGCACTCCACTATGGACAGAGGTAACCTTAAAGCCAGCCAAGACAAAATATATCAACATAGTGATGCACGTTTTACATTTCTAGATAGAAAACAATGATTCTTCAAAAGATCCATGCAGCTTCGGGGCCCAAGACAAAAATAGAACTGCTGAAGCTAACCAGGAGATGTGGAAGGGATTCAGTTGCTCCTCCCCGACCTCCTCTTCTTCAGATGAGGAGTCAAACTCACTGGTCCTCATGACTTCAGCCCTCCGAGACTATAGAAACCGTAACAGAGACACAAATGTCCGACATCCTGAGATGACTTTTGTTGTGATTTGGTACTATACAAATAAATTTGAATTGAATTTACTTGCACTTTCAGAGATCAAAGTCCACTCTGCAGCTGGGGGGAAAACTACTTTTTCTAACTTACATTTTTCTGTTTAGTAGACTTGTGCTGTTTTGGAGAAAGGGAATTTACTTTGCTTGTGTTTTTCTATCAAAGTAGTGACTTTTTTCATTAGGTAAACTCCAGTTAACCTCACAGTAAAATGTGCACCATGGTGGCAGGTTATGTTAAACTTTAAATACAGGGCTTTTACTTGTAACAGAGCATATGGATATTACTACTTTCTTAAGTCATGAATAAATGTACTTCGTCCAGCACCGGCTCTAAATCAGGTTAAAACAGATGACAGGTGTGGTCCATTAAATAAGATAGGCTACTCACCAGCCTACAAACTACGAATAAACCACGTTATAGTCTGGCTTCTATTTTGCCTTCTTTATCCAATAGCTACTCTAATGACAACATATAATTTGACATTAATGCCAGAATTAAAGATAACGCCTATGAATGTTGCTAATGCTAGCTTACTTAAGATTAGCACTGCAGCTCCTGTCAGACCGAAGCAAAACATGAGGGAACTGAAGACAAACCTATATCTAACCGTTACCAGAAAAGAATAAGTTGTGTTTTAATACCACAGAGATCAATATATGTAGCTAAAAATTCAATACAATTATGAAGTTTTATTATTCCACACCAGTCTCAACCTGCTCCTGTCGACTGTTTTGACAACTCCGAAGCTGTTGCTTCGATTTGAAAAGCCTATTAGGAAAGTAGCCAATCAGAGTAAAGTACTAGCCATTAATCACACCCACTTCCGGAAATAAACATTTGTACTTCTGGTGTGCGCTCGCCTTCTCTTGAATCATACAGACGGAGCTAATTTTTAAATTGCAAAACAGTTGCAGAGTCAATAAAATTAAAAGAGATGGACATATATACAATAGTTATATCTAATAAAGCATACAATCCCAGCAAATGTCTTAATTTTTAAATAAACTAACAAAAGTAAGGAAGTTATGGTAAGAAATCTTTCAGTACTCTTTGCTTGTGCATAAGCGTAAAGATTTTTTCCCATTAGGCTACAACAAATAAACTATTTGCTGCTGTCTGTTAAAAAGCACACATCTGATATTTTATTTATAGAATAATATAATGGTCGGAATCACATATGACCACAGATGCACAACAATAAGGCACGTTGCTGTAACTATCTTTCTTTCTTTGCTGTAACTAACTCTATTAAAGCAGTATTTCCATGAGGACATAACCTGCAGGACATCTGCTGTTGGCGCAGAGCAGCCACAGCGCAACACGAGCTGCCGCTTTCAAACACAGCAAATGACTGAAACCAAGTTTTCACACAGGAGACAAGAAACTGCCAAAATTTGTTGTCTCTGCATCTTTTAAAATGTCTGTACCGAAGAGCTTTAAGTGAGGTAAGTTTCTTCTGGCTTTCTTGTGTCTTTTGCTTCAGCAGTAACTCACTGAGTAAGATATTTGGAGGATTCTTCTATATCTGGGCATCTCCAACACTTTTTTATTATGTTTGGAAATACTACCACATGTTTTTAAGTAGAACGTCTACTGTATATTATAGTCTTGCAACCTACAATAAAAACGTGATTTCCAACATATTTTGATTCCAGAATATTGAAATTGCCCCGGGAAATGTATTACTAATCTCTTTAAAAGTGATTTTATATTGTTTATTTGCAGTGTAAAATGTGAGGCTATTACTTTTAACATATTTCAGTTTTTGCTGATCTGTGCCTGTCCTTCTGTTATAAGGAGGATCTTGGCTCCTGCAGTCACTTCGCCTGCAGGGCTGAGCTCTTTGGCTGGCTTGTCACTTCCTTAGCAGAGGGGCTGCTGGCAGGGGCAACATCTGAGCTAGAACCATAAACAAATAAGGATATATACAAAAGTTATTCAGTGGGTTAGAAATGTCATTTAAGCTCATGTGAACCATTTAGTGGCTTTAATATGCCAGTAGAAAGAATAAATAATGGCAGAATTAGCATTTTTGTGCTTAAAATCATAACTACTCAAAGCAAACCTCATGCAAATATTTAGTTTTTGCATGTTTCTTATTGTCTCTGTGAGCTTTTGGTTAGAAAGAGGTTAAGGATTCACATTACTGAGAGAAAAACAGGTTGACCTCTCTGCTTTGTTCCCATTGTGTATCTTCAACACTATCTGATCTACCTTTGGAGGTTAGAGTGAACACGGTTTTTCTCTTTGCAAACATCAGCTTTCTGATTGCTAGAAAACCCAAAACAGTCATATAAGCTGTAGAATTATGCACATTAATCAGCGTTTGCAAACAGGCTTGTTTGTGTCTCTCTCTCCGTGCAGATCATGAAGCCTCAAGAGACAGAGCTCGTCAGTGAAATCTCCAAGGTATTCTGTACCTTCACTTATTGGCCAACATGGCTTTGTTAAAAACACAGTTCACTTTAAATTTTTAACTCATATTATTTACAAAATTTGCAGGAGATGCAAAATAAAACCCATCTCATGTGCAACAGAGTGTCAGACGTTCAGCTGATGCTCCTCTCCACTGCAGCTGAAACTGAAAACAACAAAGATTATTATTGTTATGTCATGTTGGTAAATCTGATGTTTGACTTATGTGGTACCCGCGCTGTCCCATCAGTTACAATGCATGGTCTCAGAACTGAAGACGGGTTTCGCCAGCGCTCTCCTGGAGCTCAGCCAGATCCAGCATGGAGACACGTTCCTGAGGGAGGAGCTGGAGGACAACAGGAGGAGCTGTCAGAAAAAGACTCTTCATCTGGAGGCTCTGGTCGAGTCGTTGAGGGTGAGACTCAGACCATTCCAACTAGTCAGACAAACTACACACAGTAACTCAGGAAGAAAAACATACAGCCACATAAACAGCTCAAAGGAAACAACACTGGAACAACCTTCGACTGCAGGGATTTCCCATCCATAACAGATTTTACTCAGCATAAAATATGATACTTACTTTGTTGCAGACAGTAAAGCTACATTTATTCCCAATGCTTTGTCATCCTGCAGGAAGAACTTGGTGTGATGCGGTGTCAGATCTTGCAGCTGTACAGCAACAGACAGAGACCTCAGCAGGATGAAAGGAGCTCCACAGCAAAACAGAGGGGAAGGTAAAACATAAAAACCACAGTTTGATATGAATCCAAATTATTACAACCACCATGTCTTATTACATAATACATCCCAAATTGTATGAAATGTGTTAAATGGGCCATTTAAATAGCAATATGTTTAAATTTGATATGTTTTTACTTTAAATAAGTATAGATGATTAGTAGATTTGGTTATAAATAAAAGTGCAAACATTAAAGAAATATGTGTTTGAAAGTTGCTGTAAATACCAAATAATGTGCAGGAGTAAACAGACAAACATTAAGAAAAATGCTGAAAGTCATTCTGGATTTAAAGCTCATTTCTTATTTATGTGTTAGGTTCTTATGGGCCACCACACTGCTTTGTGCCATAGAGGCCTGAGGCTGTAAAGAAACTGGACAGATTTCAGTCAAATCAAACTCAATGGCATATAAACTAAGATGCAATATAGAAGCAGATCACCTCTTCTTGTTTGTTTGAACTGTTAAAAATCACTTATAAACAAGCCTGTTACCACCTGGATATACCAAGAAGGTGGCAATAACACAGGTGTAGTGACACCGAACACCTACATGGTACGGTATACCACATCACATCAACATATTTATACCAAGTTTATTGTTACCATCTGTCCACTGCTGTGCAGCAGTGATCCAGCAGAGCCGGCCGGTGCACAGAGTCACAGTGACTGTTCGCTTGCTCCACTCGCATGTGTGTCAAGAGGAAAACTGCTCCTCCACTGTTTCCTGCAGGGCCTCAAAGCAGGACTGAGCGAAGGCACAGGTGAGCTCACACACCACTGTGTTACACTGTGGGAGGGATCAACATCTGTCACACTGCTATAAAAACAGTTTGCTTTTTGCAGGTGTTTACAGTCAACTGCTACAACAGCGATTCAGCCACATAGTGAGAATGTTAAACATTTTACCTTTGCTACTTTCAACAGCCAGTGTCAGGAGAAGAAGCTGGTTTCAGCTGTTTGTATCTAGAAGGAGCCATTCGGAAGGAATTTGTTTACTTTTACTGGAACAAGCCACAGTTAGAGTTTTAACTGTTGCATCAGCCTGAGAAGTGAGAATCAGCATGGGTGAACACACACGCTTACAAAAATGTTTTGACAGATAACTGAAGGCGAGGACAGTTTCCCCTGAGCTGTCTGACGGGCTGCTGCTCTCCAAGACACAATTGTCCTGAGTTGCCATGTTAACTGAATCAAACTCTTTTGCTGGCCACTGTTCAGTACCTTGATAAAAAAGCACTTCACCAGCAGTTGTTGGCCTTTTATTTCAGTCCCCATCAGCCTGGATATAAAGTGCAACCTAATACAAAATGTCATAGTATTTGTTGAAATATAAACAATACAGGGTAAAGGCCCATCCATGTAGCTTAATGTTATCTTTATTTTTGCACAGATGCACGACATCAGGTGGCGATGCAACTTCTGCATTCTGAGTGGGAGTATGTTTCAACCTTAAACCAGCTATACGACAAATACAAGACGCTACCAGCTCATCCAGTGACTGTGGAGCCATAGTAAGTGCAAAACAGATTATATGCAGGTGGCTCTCAGACTAGTTAAAAGGGGAAAACACCAGCATTTCTGAATGGCTAAAATCTTCCTGCAATAAAAAGGAAGAAAATAAAGGCAAATTTTACATCTGATCACACAAAAGGGTAAATGTTTAGTGTATTAAATCTTTAGTAAAACCTACAGAGGCAGAAATGGAAGTCACCACCGGTGGCAGCACTACCGTACAGCTATTACTGTAACCGTAATAAACAAGAATCAGTAACATTTACTAGTCAGTAGTACTTTTCATTTAATGTTGAAATTGTGTGGTAATATTTTACTATAAGTGTAATTGTTTTTCTTTGATTTAGTCAGACATACCTGATGTTTGTGGAGCAGCTGTTACAGCGACACCTGCTCTTCAGAAACTCCCTGCAGGAGCGACTGTCTGCTGAACACTGGAAGTCTCTGGTTGGAGACATTCTGGTGCAGCTCATTGGTCAAAACGATGTACGTTTTTTCTTTTGTACCTTTTATGATTTCGACCCATCCCACCGAACACTGAGGGACACGGTGTTTATTCTAATCTGGGTTGTTCAGACAGCATTTTCAGATACATACCTTGGATACATGACTACCCTGGCATCAGTCCTCTCACTGGAGTTCAGCAGACTGAACCATCCTGAAAAAGGCCACAAAATGCAGGTATTTCAAGTGATACAGCATTACCATTATTCACTCATGATAGACAGGTAGGCATGATGGGTTTTTGGATCTGATGTTACAGAGTGGCCAGATGGAGAGAGATGAGATGAAACTGCTCTCCCTGCTGCTGGCACCTGTCTCTCGTATACACAGCTACCTGAGTCACATTCAGGTGAGTCAGCAGCCACATAAGATGTGACCACTGACGGTATATACGTTCGACTTGGCATCACCACCTCCCTCCATTACGCAAAAGTGAGGCCAAAATATCCTGAATACGGCGGCTGCCATCTTTCTTTTTGGCAACAAGATTCTGCACAGTGGTGACCAGAAGTTGAGTGACAGCAGTGAATGGCCAATCAAAGCTGTCAAATCAGCTCAAATACCCCTCGTATCAACGAATAACTTATTAAAAACAACCTTAACAGAAAAATGACCACCTGTACACACATCAGCATGATAATATCTACAAAAAACCCCCCAACATTAGTGATCTGTGGGAAAAATTAATTTGTACTTGTACTTTAGTTTAGTTTTTAGCTTGGGTCAGGTCCCATCCACTAACAGCTCAGTGACCATGTAGCAACCTACATGGAGTATATAACCTGTACTGCAGCCAACCACCAGGGGGCGATCGACTTGTGGTGGCTTCACCAGTGAGTTGTCACACAGCCCATCTTTTATTCAGTCAGTGGATGTGACACTGGGTCAGCATGAATCCCAAAGTTATGGATGTTGATCTGAAGGGTGGGACAACATCTGAAATACACAACAAAATGATTCTAATCAGAAAATAAAACTCATCTCTCTCTAGAACCTACTGCAGTGGACTGGTAAAGAGCATCCTGACTGCAGCCTCCTTCTGGGCACTGAGCGAGCACTGAGGAGCATTTTATCTCACTGTCATTTGATCCTGGAGGAAGATGTTCGATGGGAGGAAGAAGAAAGAGCTGGACAAAGGTCAGAGCATCATCTGATTTTCATGCCTCTGGCATATACTATTAGGTAGTAGTCCCCATAGGCGTCAAATAAATCCAGTCCTCTGTCACAAATTTCTATTAAATGGCGTGTTTGGGCTAATTAATAAATTCACAGTTTAAACTTGTATTAATCCTCTGCATGAACAGCAGCTGCTCCAATGCTGTGGCTGGTGAATCCTCTGTAAACTGCTGCACAAGGAGCCAACAGAGCAGAGAGGAGTCCGACTCTGCTGCCCAGAGGTGAGTGTCACCATCTGCTGGCCTCAGAGGACACAGCAGACAGAACAACACCTGCAGGAAAAATGCTCCCAGAGACATTTGCATGCAATAATGTTGGAGCCTGATCGGAGTTGTTTTTTTTTTGTTTTTTTTATATTTCAGCACAAGCATTTCAAATCCCAGTAGCATCCATTCATTTCAGTACAACATGGAATTCTACACTTGAGCATCGTGCACTTTGATTTTTGCCAAATGTTCAGTTATTATTGTGTGACAGGACTAATGTACATCTACAGTAACACTTGCAAAGTGTGCTCGCAGCAGCTAACTGCTAACTAAATGTTAATTTTTAAGAAGCTTAATGTAGAATAACATAAATAAAGAGTACTGGCCCATAACTTACAGATACTAACAGTACCTGTGTCAATGCACTGCAGATTGTTCCCCCTGCCTTCATGCCGCTGCCCCTCACACTGCCAGTTGATGTCCTGGTATAATAATCTCCTCTCTCCTCTTAGAGACAATCAGCAGGCTGCTAACCTCACCAATGAGGTGGACAGCCGCCACTCGGTGCATCTAGAGTGCTGGTCCTGTAGCCCAGCGAGGAGGAAGGGCTGTGGAAGAGACCAGACCATTCTGACCCCGCTGGCCAATGACTGTGGACACGCCTACTGCTCCCTCCTCACCCTGGAGGCTGCACGATCGGGAGAGAACAGAGAATCAGGTCAGGGCACCTTCAGCCAGCCCATAGGGAAAGGCACCACTGAGATGGAGGCACCTCACAGGAACAACAACCTTGAGGACTTTGAGACAGACCCTGACGACAACTCGGCCTTTGACTACTCCTCTGTCACCTCCTGCAGCCCTGATGGCACACTCCGCAGGGAGATAATGGGCAGCCCCAGTGGGGAGGATGAAGAGGAGGACAGCCAGGTGCCGGTACTGTTAAAGCCCTCGTACAGACAGCAGCAGCAGCAGTCCAGAGAAGAGCCCAAAGAGAGGACTGTGTGTCTGAGGTGGCAGATTCCCAGATTAACACCTCATCCTCCACTGAGAAACACCGCAGGGCCGTGTGTGAACGGTCCAACTCCGTGTCTCATCAGCTCCTACGGGAAGAGACTGGTCAGCGTCAGGAAAGGGTCACCTCCTCTTCATCCACAAAGTGCCTTCAGGCCCATCTGGGATGACCCGACCATACAGGTGCAGTAGTAGCGATACTGGCCCAAAACCTAAGTATATATTCAGTATACAGTCATATATGACAGAGGAAGACATTAAATCCTCACATATTAATAGCTGGAAGCTTCAAAATGTTCTGTATATTTGCTTCAGAAATGATCAAAAATCTTCATCAACTGCAAAAGATTATTTTTTTTCTGTCAAATGACAAATCCATGCAACTCACTACAAAATTTTACATCTTGTCTATACGATTTGCTCCACAGTATGTATCTGACCTGCTTATAAACATGACATTTTGCTTGTGTTTCCGATACCTTAATTTCCTGACACTGCAGTCTTCAGTTTTCTCATTAACACTCAAACCTGCTCTGTATCCACTTCACTTCACGGACCAGGCTGATTCTGCTCCAGAGAAAGACAATAGACAAGGCTTCATACCGATTCAGGCGTCAGCAAGGGAGAGCTTTCAGAATTTCAATCCAAGCAGAGAAAATCTGAGGTGAGAGCCTTCATCAAGTTGAATTACGACTGATGACGCTTAACTCAGTTTGCAGGTAGGATGAAACTGTGATGGTCTGAACGCTCAGTGAAGGGCATGTAGTTCCACTGAGCGCTAAGAGATGGATTTGATCAGTGAGATTACTTTTACCTGTTGCATTTCTGAGCTTGTCATCCCTCTGTCTCTTCAGATCAGGCCTGGCTCAGCAGAGAGGAAACCATGCAGCAGTCATGGGCAGTGGAGGATTGTGGGATGACAGTGAGGACAGCGAAGGACCCTGCAGCACTGTTTAACCCCTGCCGCCCTCCTCAGACACAAGTGAAACATAACACAAAAAGTTACAACCAAAACTGTGACAAGATCTTTAGTAACATTACTGGTGTTTTAACTGTAAATATGAAGCTAAGCTACAGCTAGCCAGTTAGCTTTAGTCTGGACACAGATATTCTGGCTGTAGTATAGTATCAAAATACACATACCAGCTCCTCCAAAGCTCACCAATGAACATGTCTTTGTTTAATTTGTACTAAGGTGCACTATTTACACACAGTAGGCTACTCTTAGACTGAGGGTAGGTGCTTCCCTTGCTTTCAGTCTTTCTGCTAAGCTAAGCTAACATGCTGGCTGTAGAGGTCATGGTAAGTTTTCAAAATAAATAAAAGTAATATCAGTTTTCTCATCTAACGCCGCATCAGAAGGCAAACGCATACATTTCCAAAAATGTAACTTGGGTCCAACGCCTGAGGGAAGCTGGATTTATGGCAACATAAAAAAAAAACAAAAAAAAAAGAGAAACGAGTTGTTCAGTACAAAATAAGACTGAGTGATTTATTAATCTCATCAAGACTATTAATACAAAGCAGTTAAAAGGCCACATACCATCAAATAAACCAACTGCTGGATCAAGCTGTTACAGTGCCACCGGAGGAAAAGCTGTTATTCTGAATGGGCTGGAATTTAAGAATTAAACCCAGAAAACAAAAAGGAAAAATTAACCTCACCAATACTGACTTGGGAAATGGACAGAATACGAGCGAAGACATTGAAGTTATCTGACTTCAGCTGTCCATAAAAAAAAATCCTATCAACACTTCCCTTTCATCTCTAGTTTGACCAGAGGTTTAATCATCCATCATCAGCTGCACAAAACGCAGTGAGGAGGACGAGGAGGAGCAGGGCTCTGTGTTTTCAGAGCAAAGAGTGATTTTTTTAAAAAATCTGCTGAGATCCAGCTTGTGGTCATCAGACACCCCCATATGTTCCTGTGTCTTTTCTAAACACCGAGGGGTTCAGAGTGAGGTTGTAGACTCGTGTTTTTCTGCCCTGATCCATGTAGAAAGTTGAGTTTAACAGTTGCACAGGACCACTGCATTTACAAATGTGACCTATAACAACTGTGGCTCATCAACAGTACAGCCTAAAGTGCACAAAGTGTGTTTTTCAGAAAAAAAGGTTCCAATTCTTCGCGATGCTCAAATACTTGCAACTGTTCATCCGTATGTCTGGATTTATGCACCTGCAACTTTAACACAATTCCAACTCTCTGTTTAATGAGCGTTAGCATCAAAACGTCTTTGAAAAGGTAATTAGTAGGATGTAGAAAGTGAAGCACATGTCCAAGTGCTTGGCATATTCAACTATCATTTTTTTCTTTGCATTTAAAACAGGTACGGGGCAGGGAAGGAAAAAAAATGGCTTTCCTCAGTTAATACTCCCAGTGTTTCATCTGGAGATTGTCTGTAAAGTTAGTGAGTGACCTGTTTTTAGTTTGTTTGTTTTTTTTATCCGACTGTAGCAGCATTGGATTATTATGCAATATTTGACTGAACAGATGCGGATGAGGGTACAATACAACAAGGAAAAAAAAAACTTGTCACTTTATACAAATTATTTAGTTAGTGTATACATGTTATATGTACACAGTATCCACAAACATGTACAATTTCATAGTGTATAGCTTTGTTCTAAACATTACATAGGCAACTTTATTTTTTAGCATTTTAGACACCATTTGCTTATTTCTGTAAAGTAGAAAACAAAATAAAAGGCACATCTGAGCATGATGCATGGATTATTTCAGTCTTTCCAAAGTGAAACAAAACCGTTTCAAGCAGAAACAAAGAAGAAGACAAAGTTCAGTTATAAAGTTCCTGTTTTTTGTGGATGTTCAGGCATTTGGAGCAGCCACTGGGGGAACTGACCCAGCTTTGGCTGGAGGTTACGTGCTTCCAGTGCTGGGTTTCAATACCGATGAAGAAAAGTTGGTCACGAGAAGAGCACAGTGTCAGACAGCAGTACACGTTCATAAGGGGATCGGTTAAGACATCAGCTTTTGAAGAGTTGGAGAGAGAAACCCTCATTTCTCTCTTCGTCCTGGATTGGTGCTGCTTGCACTCCCTCCGTCACGTACTGCAGAGTGACTTTAATAGTCTAACTGAAACCTGCTGACCTTCCCAAGCTCGCTGTGCAAATGGAGTGTTCTCGGCTCTCATTTTCCCATGCGGGGCCGAGAGGGCTGGAGCCTGGGGTCAGAGGTCACTACTGTTGGATTTTTAAAGGCAACATGTTGTGGCTGTGGAGGGGCCTGTCTCCAGACAGAAAACAGTCAGGTTACAGTCACAGTGTACAGTTGAGATACAAGGTGGGGGATTCATTGTCGCCTCCAGTTTGTTTCTTTTAATGTCATGTGTTAAAAAAAAATCCCTTATCCCCCTGCATAAAATAAGACTTTGGCAACTGTTTCTTTTCAGTTAGTATGAAACACAAGTCAATGGAAACGTCTGCCGCTCACACCCACCACAAAGGAGCTACAGTTACCATTGGGGAGGTTCTAACAATCTGTGAGCTGCAGCATGAATCCAGATGATGTCAATGCCCAGAGAAACAAAGCACGACAGTTGAGGCTACGGAGTCCAAAGTCCCTTATTCTCCCCACCCTGGTGATGTGGGAGTGGGCCGAGTTAGGGGTGTGAGAACTTTTATCAGCAGCGGATGGTCGCCGCTCTGATCAGAACAAACAGACACAAACACTCAGCTCCATGTTGTTTATTAGCTGGCACACCGGTGTGGGTTTCTCATTGGCACAGAGAGTTTGTGATGAAGGCGGAGCTACTGATCCCCTGAGAGGCACAGTGGGGGTGTGACTGGTCGATGCAGAGGGCGGGTGTGTGGAGTTATGAGTGTGTGGAGCTGTGTTCTTCTTTCCGATCAGTAGCTTTAGGTCCACTGTGTCGTAGTTTGCAGGAGACATTTTGTATTTCAGGATCACCTCTTGGTGGTTAAAAAACGTATAGCGGAGCAGACTCACTGGCTGCCATCAGTGTTCTCCACCAATGAGAGGCTTTGTAGTGGGGCCTGCAGTAGCTCCCTTTTGTACGTCTTTGGTGGGAGTTTGGGCTGCTGTGAGCTGGAGTTGTGGCGTGGGGGCACAGGTGGAGCAGTGATTGGAACCGGTAGAGGGCAGAGGCTGTTCTGGCTGGCGCTGAGGAAGCAGCTCCGCCTGGGGACCCGAGGCGATGGTGTGCTGGGCGGTGTGTTTGGGGAGTTGGGGGAGCTGTTGAAGTCCCAGTGGTATCGGCCCACAGGGGAAGGCTGCAGGTTGAGAGGGTAGTTGATGAAGATTTCTGGGGGCCGCTGGGGCACCGGAGGTGGCGTGTCG